ACCCTGGTGCGACCATCACAAAGCAAAGAGACCCGAGAACTAGAAAGGCGAGGCTCACCACCCATTTATCCCTCCGCCTTTCAATTAGCCCCACATGTGATTATGGGCCAGGCTGGCACAATTAACTAACTCACCATGGTAACGACAACAATGACAAGGAGAACAGACACTCCCAGATGCAGATGCTGTTGAGTCAACTCCAACCCTTGGTGACCTCATGCCTGCTGGGAGAACTGCCCTCCATGGGTTTTGAATGACTGTGATCTGTTGGAAGTGCATTGCCAGGCCTTTCTTACAGAGCACCTCTGGGTGGACTTAAACCAACCTCTTGGTCAGCAGTTCAGCGGGTGAACAGTCAGAACCAACCAGGGACTCTTCAGTGACACGGTGCAAGTACTGTGTTGGTACTCTTCTCCACCAACCGTGTAAGGTACGGAGGTACCTCTGCAATCTGCTTGACCAGAAGTGCTCGCGGCCCCACACCTGCCGAGGGGGCTGTAAGGAGTGTCACGGCTACTGAATCGCTTCAGGAATAGACCTCCGTTTAACACAGTGACCAGAGCGTGGGGCTGGAGCAGAGGTGTGTTGGGATCTTGCAGCTCGCACCAGTGAGAGCCAGCTGTAGGCACAGCTGCCAAGCTGCACCTCCAGGGGCGAGCGGTGGGTAGTTTGGAATCAGCTGTGGCGGCAGTGGTCATACTGGGGAAACCGGCAAACGCCACACTCTGTGCAGGTCTTCTCCTGGAGAGCTGGCTGTCCAACTTTTTACAGCATCTCCCTGGTCTGGAACCACAAAACAGGTGTCCACACAATGGCGTTTTGGGGAAAGTCGTGTAGACTCAACTGAGATGTTACTTTTGGCAGGGCCAACTCTCTCTGTTGAAAGATTGCTTTAAGAACTGAACAGCACCATGTTTCTGTGAAAATGTAATAGCAGGCATCTATGTGGCAGGGGTTTTTAAATGCCTACAGAGTCTTTGATCCTGTTCTGTCCGAGAGGCGGAGCCTGGCCCCCTGCCGCTTTCATGGGAGCCAACAGCGTGGAGCAGGAGTGAGGGCGAGTGACTGGCTATGGAAGGCGGCAGGGCTTCCTCGACTGGGGAAAGCCGGCTGCATGCTGTGAGGACACTTAAGCATCCTGTGGAGGCGAGGAAGCTAGGCTTCTTGCCCACCTGCCGTGTGAACCGGAAGCGGACCCTTGGCCTTGGGCACCAGTCAAGCTTTCAGACAACGGCACCCCCTGCCAACATCCAGAGTGTGACCTCAAGGGAGACCCCAAGACCAACTAAGCCCCTCCTGGACTTCTAACCCTGAGACCCAGTGAGAATGTAAATGCTTCTGGTTTTAAGACACTACCCTTTGGGAGAACTTGTCATGCAGCAATGTAACATATCGTCTCTGTATGTTAGATACTATCACCAATACTCCTTTCAATTCCAGTTCTGAGGTCGCCGTCCTGACCCCCGCCTGAGGAGCCCCTCTTCAACCAAAGACCCCTGGGCACCTCGCTGATGTGTTTGTTGCACAAAGGAGTGAGACATGCCCTGTGTGGGTGGCTCAAAGGCTCTCTCTACCACACACCAAGGCAAGGCCTTGGGCATCGACAGCCTGCCCATTCGGGGACGGGAGAGGGGGTTTCTGGCACTTTCACTGCTAACCCAGGAAGTCTGCAGGTAGACCAGGATGAGCTGGTCACTCATCTTTTTGTGGGGTTCTGATTTGATCACACAGTGAGACAAAGCCGGGGAAAGATGATCCATGAAATGAAGGCACGTTCGTTCTAAGAAGGGCAGTCCTCACGGTTGTTCAGCATCCTTGTTGTCTCTGAGGAGGGCAGGAGCAGGGAGCCACTCACACAGGGTGGCCCCAACCTCCCAGCCACGACACACACCTGGTAGTGGAGGTGGAGACCAGCCTTGCTATCAGGGTTGCTGCTGTCTGTGGCTCAGTGGGCTTGGAGCTGTTTTTGCTCACCATGGGCTTTTAGCAGAAGATCCGGTGAGGGAAGGAAACCACGCAGCACAGAGAAGTATTCTTTGATGGCTCCAGCCGAAACCTCACCCCGCCGCAATCCCTCACAGAGGCAGAACCACCCCACCCGGACCTACCTGATCTTCCACCAGCCTTCCAGGTTTTTCTGGATGACCTCCACCACGGCCCCCCTCTCCAGGTTCATTTCATCTTGGTCTCGGGCGGTGTACGGGTAGATGACCGTGTATTTCTCCTCTGTGTGGACAGAGCAATGCTAGGTTAGGGAAGGGACAAGGGATGCTGGCTCCCTGGAGGGAGAGAGTCCCCAGCGATCACTGGGCACCCTCTCTGCCTAGTCAAACACCAAGAGCCCATGGGACAGAGGGAAGGGCCCAATCCTTGTGGAAGCCCTCTCCTTCACACGGTCACCCTCACCGTCTTGAGCTCTGTGCCAGGCCAGCCTGCTCCACTGTACCCCAACCTCTTTCCTGGGAGCTGCGAGGGAACTGGCCCCTCACACATGGTGGTCCAGGCCTGCCCCATCTCTGTAATGGACCATACCACTGTGAGCCAGAGGGGCTTCCTTAATTAACTTCGGGAAGTAGACTGCCAGGCTGTCTTCCCAGTCTGTCTTGCTGCGGAAGCTCTGCTGCAATCTGTTCAGCACCAGAGCCACACACAAGCCTCTGGGGACTATGCACGGGGTGCCCAGGCCAGGAACTGGGCCCTGGTCTCCCCGAGCCCCACTCCTCAGCCCCCTTACTATCATACACGGCCTCATGCCTGCCTCCTCACCGGAACCTGAGCTCCAGGAAAGCAAGGCTTTGGGGCTGTCTGCGCATTCCTCTGTCTGGAGCACGGGGCATGGTGCCTGCGGTGTCCTGAGTCAGTGAGGCAAAGCCTGGCAAATGAACAAGTCCCAAAGGCCTGGCAGGAGCCCCCCGCTCAGACCAGAGGGATCTAGACTCCTTGAGCCCCCGAATCCCACCCGTGTCTGCTGGTGGTGAGAGGAGTTTGACAGCAGCTGAGATTTCCACCAAGGAGAACACAGCCGGCCATTTTCATCAGCACGCTGGTCACTGGTCTTCACTTCCTAATATCAAGCCTCTTGATCCAACTGTGCCAGACACTTCCCTTTTCATGAATGTGAATGGGGGGCTTTCTGCCCCACTGCCTAGAGCCCTCCCCAGGAGCCACAGGGCCATCCTTAAGCCCCCCAACTCGAGAGCTGCCTCAGCTGTGTCCCTTCCACAGCAGTCAGTGCCCACCCTACAACACTGCTGTGATGGGAATGGGTGTGTGGGTGCTTCCTGGTTTGGGCCCACAACTCCAGCTGCCTGTGGCTTGCCCAGCTGGTCCCTCGGGAGGTGGTGTGTGCACGGGTTGCCTGTTTGCTTACTGACCTAGCCTATGACCTGTCCTCGGGTCTCAGCGGACCTGGGCTGCTAACATTCTGTGCACACAGCCAGGGGCTGCCCTCACTCATGGTAGCTACAGGGTTGGGCGTAGTCCAACTCTGGGATTGGACTGGTTTTCCAGCGCCCAGGGGTCTGCTCTGGGCTCTCAGGCAGTCCAAACAGTGCTCAAGGCTGATGGCCTTGCCTACTGTGTATCAGCCATCGTAGTGACGGCCTCTACACAGGCCCGCCCAGTCTCTGCGGGCTCTGCTGCCCTTCGTCCTCAGGACAGCGAGGCTGACTTCTCCACCGCTTACAGGGAGGGGGTGGGGACGTGACCTAACCAAATGCCGTGTCCCTCTGGCCACTGTGAATTTGCCATGGGGTTTGGTTTGGTTGTCACTGGGGGGAGGGCAAGAGGCCACAGAGAACAAGGCCTACAGAACTGCAGAGAACGGGCTGATAGAGTGGAGGGGCTGGTGGTGTCAAGAGGCTACAGAGAATGGGGCCCACAGAGCCAAGAGGGGGCAAATGCGAACCCCCAGCACTGATATTGTTAAATCCCAAAGGCATTTTCCAGGCCGTGGGTCCAGCCATGCTTACTTAGTACTGGAAATAGTCCCCCGCCCACCAGACTCCTGGCCAGTAAGCGTTACTTTTGATTCAGCCAGCCTGCTGTGGGGTTCTCACCCTGAAACTGATGGGCATCAGGCTCAGCACTATAGGCGCTGGGGGGGCCTGGGCATCATTTCTTAACTGGGTAAACCTTAGACACCCCAGGCTGACAACACTCCAGGATCCCGAATCCACATGCCAACGCACCCATGTGCGCACCAGCACACACGAGTACACGCTCCCGGCCCCCCAGCATGCAGCAGGCACGAGCAGGCCCGGAGCAGAGCTCATGCAGATGCGGGAGCTGGCCCCAAACACCCGACAGGCAGGCACCTGGACGCCAGCTGACGGCATACAGGTCCCCCAGAGTGCGGCGGCGGCCCACGGGCCGGGGCAGGGACCAGTACCTCCAGGAGACTGGCCGGCAGCATGTGGGGGAGGGCAGAAGGCAGAGGTGAGAGAAAAGCACTTGCAGTCCCCACGTAAAGGAGCAGCGCCCATTGGGATGCCAGACCAAACTCCCGAGGAGTCACCTTGACCTCGAGGGAGGAGCATCCCACAGACAGAAGGCTGATGCTGTTGCTGAGTGCTGGCCCATCGATTCCAACTCAAAGCACGTCCAGGTGACAGAGCAGGACTGCCCCATAGGGCTTCCCAGGGGGCCACCTCCACAAACAAGGAGCACACGGCCTCGGCACCACGGGGTGGGTTCGAACCACCAACTTTGGGGCTAGCAGTGAAGCGCTCAACCCGCGCACCACCAGGGCCCCTTATTCGAATACCGGGTGACCACAGAAAGTGAAAAAGAGAAGCCTTCACAAGGGGAGGAACATGATACAAATTCTTAGGGAAATTCCTAAATTCCAGGTGTGTGACCCGGGTAACTCTCTCCACCTGTGGGAGCCTCACCATCACTCCTCACAGAGGCATGCCTGTGAGGGTCACCAGAAGGCAGTTTCCTGGAAGAACCCCATCTCACATGCCTGGCAGCACAGGGGTGAAGTGTTTGGCTGTTCACCGAAAGATCGGCAGTTTGACCTCACCGGCTGCTCCATGGGAGAAAGGTGCGGCAGTCTGCTTGCAGTACCTAAGACTGCGGGTCAGCCGCACTGTGTCCTCCTCGGGGCTGCGTTACGAGGGACTCAGTGGGTCAAGGACTGAGTTTGGGGATTCTTCAGTGCCCAATAGCACCCAGGCCCAGGGACACCCACGAACGTCAGAAGCGTGGCTCGGAGAACAGAGAATGCAAAGCCACACAGGTTGTGTGTTCACACGAACGCACAGAAATAGCCCCCTTGCTCCTCCTCACCCTCTTCAGGTGAAAAACATACTGTGCTTGGTCAAAATAATTAAAGACCACCCTCGCAAAGTTTAGCTGTTAGGATCCTAACCGCACCTGCTTATTTGTTGCCCTGGGCTCTTGGCTAAAGCTGTTGCACATGGAGTTTCATTGTATTTTTTATAAAAATTTTACGGTGGAGGTAGCAGCACTTCCATTTTCGGAGGAGGAGCCTGAGGCATAGAGAAGTTAAGCTACTGGGCCAAGGTCACTGAGCCAGTGGGGCGGGAGGCGTTCCAATACAGGTCTGCCAGATTCCCTAGCCCTGCTGTTCGTGAGCTAGAAAGTGAATTCACACTCGAGTTTCAGGAATCCCTCTGGGGTGGGGGTTGAAGGGAGTTGGCTGGGCGTTGGTACATCTGGCAATGGCAGGAATCACACTCAGAACGTTGCTAGGAAAAGGTTTGGCAGGGAAATAAAGGCATGAAACAAAATGTTATGTGTTGTGTGTCGGGGGTGGGGGAAAGTAGGGTCAGTCCTCATCCCGACACCCAGCCAGGGCCGCAGCAGCAGCGGCGTAGCTTTCCAGAGGTAGTTTGGAGTGTTCTGGGAGGAACTATCCAGGTGCTGACGTCTGAGGCTTGGCGCAGTTTCCAGGCAGTGCACCCTGCCCCGTAGAGCCCCCTGTTACTAAGACCCCCTCTCCCCCCATGGTGCTGGGAAGGCAGGCCCAGCTCCCCCCAGGCTCACTTGGATGGGCTCTCACAGGCTCCTAAAAAAGGGCTGACTTGTCCTTCAGCCCTCATCCCTCCTTCCCTGCAAGCTTCACGCTCCAGGTGACCAAGCCTGACCCGGAGAGCACCCGAGGCAGGGGCTGGAGGTAGGGAGCGGCTGAGAAGGCAGCCTGGTGCCGAGCTGGTTGGCCAGGCTGCCCCAGCACGCCAGAGGCTGGAGCCCCTGCCTACCTTCCTCAGGCTGTAGGGAAAACTCATCCTGTCCCCCATCTTGTCCTTCCAGGCAGGTAGCAGGAACCCAGCCTTGCTCCTCTGCGGTGCTGACGAACCACCAACCTGGGGAAGCGAAGGTGGAAACTGCCCTTAGTCGAGGCAAGCGAGAGGCCCTGGGTGGGGTCAGACTGTCACAGTGTCAGTTAATGCTTGGGGTGGGAGAACCGAACCAGGCCTGCTAGTTGACTGCTAACTGCCAGAAGCTAGCTAACAAGAAACAAAGCGGACTAACGAGAAGCCCTCCCCTGCCTCCGAGACAGAGGAGGCAAAGTGACAAATGACGAGCAATGACTGTAGAGGCCGTCACCCAGGTGGGCTAGTGGATCCTTTTCCTGGCGTTATTTTATAGGAGCCCTGTGGCATAGTGGTTGGGTGTCAGGCTGCTAACTATGAGGTCAAGAGTTCAAAACCACTAGCTCCTCTGCAGGAGAAAGAGGAAGCCTTCTACTCCTGCAGAGTTACAGCCTCAGAAACTCACAGGGCAGTTCTACTCTGTCCTATAGGGTTGCTCTCAAGTGGGCATTGACTTGCAAGCAGTGAGTCTTTTATTGGGGGGGTGGTTTTTGTTATATAATCTTTATATTATCATCTCTCAAACATAAAGGTTCAAAGAGGTGAACAGACTTATACAAGTTTATGAACAGACTTATACAGAGTTTATGACAGAATTGTGATTTGTGTGCAGGGCAGTCTGACCTGGGAGCCCTGGTCCTAATAGCGTGGCTGAGACTTAGCACCTGTTTAAGTCAAAGGAAACCTGGCTGCAGATGGACACCAGCTCCTCACTCTTCTCGGGCTCTGCCAACTCGTGAAAGCTTATCTGCAGCCCTGGATCCAACGCTCGCACCTTGGCTGCGAAGAGCGGGGAGCGAGTCACCGAGAAGCACGTTCCCAGATGCCACGCCACCCCCGTCTTGTTTCAGCGCTCCTGTCTTAGCGGGCGCTCTTTTCTGTCGTTTTGGGTGCCATGGCTTTCACACTGTTGGGCTTTTTGCTGGTGACTTTGCGGTGCAACAGTTGGAGTCCCCTCGCCCCCCGCCTGTTAGCAGAGTAGAGTTCTGTCACGGTGTCTCCTGTCACTAAGTGCAAGAAAGCTGTGCTGGGTCTCGCAGCAGAAATGTGTGGATCAGATCAGCTCTGTTCAGACATGAGTTTACAGCGCTGCTGGCTATGCAGTCAGTGCTAGTGAGTTAGCAGTGACAATGACCTAAGGTGTCTTTAAGGAGAAACACACAGCATTAAGTGTTGATCGGTTGATGAAAATGCTGTGAGCAGAGGCTTGCAGGAACCTAACTCCATTTCCCCTGCAGCAGTGGCTCAGTCCTTGTGAATTCACTGCTTGCATCAACTCTATAGGACATTGGTTGCTGTTAGGTGCCATCGAGTCAGTTCGAACTCTAGAGTGACCCCATGTCCAAGAGGGCAAGCACTGCCCGGTGCTATGTCATCCCACAACTGCTGCCATGGTTGAGGCTAATGTGGAGCCCCAATGTCACTCTATCTCCCAAATTGAAGGTCTTCCTCTCTGTCGTTGCCCCTCTTAATTTATCAAGCATGAGGTCCTTCTTCAGGGACAGGTCCCTCCTGACAACATGTCCAAAGTATGTGAAATAAAGTCTCACCAGCCTCAATTCTAAGAAGCGTCCATCCTGGCTGTACTTCTTCAAGATAGCTATCTAGAGAGAATGCTGTCGTTGGGTGCCACGGACTTAGTTCCAATCCACAGCGACCCTCTGCACAGCGCTGCACAGTCCTGTGCCGTCCTCCCAAGTATTCCTGTGCCGGAGTCGACGGATGCAGCCCTGCGTCACTCCATCTCGTTGAGGGCCTTCCTCTTTCACTGCCCGTCCACTTACCAAGCATGCTGTCCTTCTCCAGGGACTGGCCTCTCCTGACGATAAGTCCAAAGTATGGAAGACCAAGTCTTGCCATCTTTGCTTCTAAAGGAGCACTCTGACTGTACTTCTTCCAAGACACGATGCATACACACATACAAATGCATGTAGCGGAGCCCTGGTGATAGCGGTTCTGCGACTTCCTGAGTGCACTGCATTCCGTCCCAGATGGCCAGGGAACATGAACAGTGGTCTCCACCACGGGCAGAATGGGCTGAGGATACGGGACTCATCCACCAGTCCACAGCTGGGAAGCCTTGTGAAGACGGCCGTGGGCAATCAATGGCAAGGGAACAGAAGCTCCCAGTGCAACTCCATGCATCCATGTGCCTTAGAGAGCAGTCATGACACGTGACTCTCACAGTGAAGGTCAGCTAGGATCCAGTGGGCGTTAGTGAGTGGGGACCAAGTGGGATCTGCGAGTGCTGTGATCAAATAGGGCAGGTCTCCAAGAGGCCATAGGCTGGAGGACTGGGCACTCGACCACTTGGATGGGCCAGGTCAGGTTCTAAGTTTCCTAGTTGTCTCCAGGCCTGGGGGCCCGGTGACGGAATAGGAGGTCCAGGTGCCTACCTGACTCGTTCTTCTCGATGATGTCCACCAGCTGCCCCACGCCGAGGCTGACCTCCGAGCTCTCCTGCTTCTGGTAGTTTGCCACCACCACATACTGCTCCAGGACCAAGGGGTCCACCGAGGCCAGGTCGCCCCCTGGGAACATAAGATGCCGTCAGAGGCCACATGCACTCACCTCCCATGTGCAGAGGGGGAGAGTCCCAATACAGAAGGAAGCTCTTAAGGGACTCAAGGGCTACTGCATGCATTCGTTCTTTCACCCATTTGTCTACTCAACCAGCAAGTGGTTACCAAGTGGCTATTCTATGCAGGCATGGGCTAGATGCAGGCGGCTCACAGCTAATGCAGACACGGCACCTTTGCTTAAGAAGCTGAAGACATGGGGTGGGGGTGGGGGTGGGGGTGGGGTCGGCGACTCTTCATTCACCTCTCTCTATCAGCCATTATGCACCCATCATCTACCCAATGGAATATGTTAAACACCCATCCAACTAGCCATCCATCCTAAATCACTATTTATTAATTCAGGAAGGCCCCACTGATGCTCCAGACACTCGTACCAAAAAGTGAATGAGACAGCTGGGTTTCTGAGCCGCAAGGAACTTAATCTACTCAGGAGACAGACACGCAGAGCAGCATCTAAGGTCAACAGGTACGTATAACACTACTGGATTGTGCAAATGCATGGGCAGAAACAAACAGGATGCCACAGTTGAGAATAAATGGCATCATTTAAAGACACTAAATACATCACATGACTTGGCCAGCAAGACTTCCCTAAGGAGGCGGCATATATTGCAGAGACCTGAGGCAAGAGAAGGGTCCCAAGCAGGTTGAAGGTTGACCCCACCCCGAGCTGGGAAAAGAGCGTGGAACCTTCCAGAAACTAGAAGGACGCTGGAGATGGAAGCCTAGTGGCGAGGGAGCTTGGTGCTGGGGGAGGGTCCGGTCAGGAAGGACCTGTGGG